AAATTCTCTCCCAGTTAGTAATAAGGTTCAAGACTGGTAATTCTCCTTGCTTTTCCCTGGGGGTGAGGGGGCCGTGTACAGGTATGTCTCTGATTCTGTCCTACGTTTGGCTGTAGTACTTCCGTATTACGTTTCACCTTTATGGAGGAGAGGTCTTTGACTCTTCAGCCTCTCCTTTGGTGGATTCTGGGGTTTTCCTGTTACTCGCTCCGCATACTCACCAGCCTAACAAGGCTGTGAAGATTGAAACTCATCTGGTTTAGCATCTGTCCTCAACTTAGTCTTTGAGATAGTCTTCATTCATTTTGGCCTCAGTAGTTCTTACTGTCTTGCTGGCTTATTAATGTGAAGATATTTTTTCTTCCTATTTTAGCCGCCATTTTTCCTGTGAGAAGTGTGAGAGGCCCAGGCACAGTGCATCGCCCTCCCTCTGCTCGAAATGGAAGTCTTGACTGCCCGCTGAGCCTCCCTGTTACATAGCCTTCCTGTTGTAGTGTTATGCTAACACTTACGTGAAGCTTAATTGAAAGTCACAATCGTTTGATTGTTAAAAGATTATCATTTTAAATACTGCCAGCAAAGACAGTTTTAAAACCTAGTTATAAATAATAGAAGGCTAACTTTAAGAAATCTTTTCACAAAGATATGAATGGAATTTTGGTATTTTTAGCTGTGAAAGGAGGAAGTGGAGGAAGTAAGTAAACCAATGAGGGAGACTACCTTATTTTATACTTTTAACAAAATTAGAAACTTAGAACTTTTAAAAAGCTAGCTTGGTGCTGCAGTGACTAACTACTGGTTTTGGATAATTTTTCTTTTTAAAATACATCATAGTTGTTACTGATTTAATTATTAGCAACTAGGATTATGAAATCTAGAAGATACGTACAGAAAATAATTTTTGAGGGGAAAGCTTGATGAATTGGCTTCATATTACAACTTGGAGTGAGCTATCATTATTTCTCTAGCCTCAGTTTTTTTGCCAGAAGGCTCTCTGAGGACCTGGGGAGTTCAGTATAGTTTTTTGGTCTGTTAGAGCCTGAATTCAGTTACAGAGATTGTGTTCTGTTTGTTTTTCTTGGTTTCTGGTAGGATGATGAAAGGAATACTAGAACACTGTTTTTAATTTATGTTGAAAAGTTATTATTATCTATGGCTGTGCATGAGCTGGTACGTCTGAAATGTTGTCAGTTAAAATATCTTACTGACAACCAGAATTTCTCCACACTTACTTAGGTTTATGAGCACAAAAAAGAACTAGCTACATAACAGGCAACTCAAAAACGATATTTAAAGGTCACTGTAACTACCACTAAGCTACAGTTGAAGCTGATTTATTTAGGAAATTATTCTTTGCAGTATGTTTTACTTTTTGCTCCTGTAACATTGTGCTTATCAAAAGCACTTAGGGAAGAAATTGATCTACTGATGATTCTTTAGGAGGGGAGGGAGAGGCTGAAAATAATTTCTTCCTATTATGCTTTTATATTCAGCCATGGGTTTAAAATAAGAAACCTGGCCTTAAGTGCCAGTAGCCACATTACAAGCATTTAGTTCAGTTCAGTCGCTCAGTCGTGTCCAACTCTTTGCGACCCCATGGATTGCAGCACACCAGGCCGCCCTGTCCATCACCAACTCCCAGAGCTTACTCAAACTCATGTCCATCAAGTTGGTAATACCATCCAACCATCTCATCCTCTGTCGTCCCCTTCTCATCCTGCCTTCAGTCTTTCCCAGCATCAGGGTCTTTTCCAATGAGTCAGTGCTTCGCGTCAGGTGGCCAAAGTATTGGAATTTCAGCTTCAGCATCAGTCCTTCCAATGAATATTCTGGGCTGATTTCCTTTAGGATGGACTGGTTGGACCTCCTTGCAGTCCAAGGGACTCTCAAGAGTCTTCTCCAACATCACAGTTCAAAAGCATCAATTCCTCGGTGCTCAACTTTCTTTATGGCCCAACTCTCATATCCATACATGACTACTGGAAAAACCGTAGCTTTGACTAGACAGACCTTTGTTGGCAAAGTAATATCTCTGCTTTTTAATATGCTGTATATGTTGGTTATAACGTTCTTTCCAAGGAGTAAGCGTCTTTTAATTTCATGGCTGCAGTCACCATCTGCAGTGATTTGTGTGTCTAGTTAGTAAAAGTTAAAATGTAAAGAATACTTAAATACATTCATTAGTCAGTCAATATTCATTAAGCTCACAACCCATGCCAGAGACTGACAAGCCAAGTCTCTGGCTTAACATATGAAAAAGTAAAAATGCAGCATATGTTAAGTGAAGGAAAGGAGGTTACACACCTGTATTCACATGTATGTACACAAAGGAATATTTGAATAAAATGCATAAAAATATTAATAGTCATTCTGGATGGAATGCATGTTGCATTTGTTTTCTTTTGCTTCTCTATGTTTTAAAAACTTTTTAAAAAAAGTTATTGTGAGTAAAGTGGAATGTCTGGGTAGGGAGGAAGAGTAAATGCCTGATTGCTTATCAAAGGAAAATGAGAATTGATACTAAAACAACTTTGTGGCAAGTGTGTCTTCTCACTTCTTGTTAGAGTCCTTGGAGGTAGTGATATTATCTGGTTTTGCCGCAGAGAAAACTGAGGCTCTGAGACGTTTTTACATGTCCAAAGTTACACAGCTGGTAAGTGATGGAGCAGACTCCTACGCCTCTCTGCCTTCAGGTCCCGTCAATTTGCCATCAATCATGCCTGGAATGGGTTTCTTGCTTTTTAAAAAAGTCTGATATACCCCTTGGCAGTTTCTTACATCTATTTAAATTGACAGCATTATATGAAAAACATGCTCTAGTCTATTAAGCAAATTATAGAGTTGGATTTTAGGATAACAGCTGATACTTAGATTTTTAGAACTGGTGTTTCGTCAATTGCTCCTTGGAAGAAAAGCTATGACAAACCTAGACAGCATATTAAAAAACAGAGACATCACTTTGCTAACAAAGGTCTGTATAGTTAAAGGTATGGTTTTTCCAGTAGTCATGTATGGATGTGGCCATACATACTTTGGACCATAAAGAAGATTTGATGCTTTCGAACTGTGGTGCTAGAGAAGACTCTTCAGAGTCCCGTAGACAGCAAGGAGATCAAACCAGTCAATCCTAAAGGAAATCAATCCTGAATATTCACTGGAAGGACTGATGCTGAAGCTCTAACACTTTGGCCACCTGATGCAAAGAGTCGACTCATTGGAAAAGACCCAGATACTGGGAAAGATTGAGGGCAAGCGGGGAAGGGGGTGACAGGATGAGATGGTTGGATGGCATCACTGACTCAGTGGACATGAGTTTGAACAAACTCGAGGAGATAGTGAAGGACAAGGAAGCGTGGTGTGCTGCAGTTCATGGGGTTGCAGAGAATCAGATACAGCTTAGTAACTGAACAATGTGAATCTTAGAGATTTGGTAATTCTAAGACCTTGTTTTTCCTTTTTAGCCCTCGTGTGTGATAATACTTTTTTATTATCTTTTACTAAGTGATTTTATAAATATTTAATGAATATAATTTAATTTTTATTCCTAAGAATTTTCATGTCACTTCACATTATCAAACCATGTATATTCAGTTTTGTAAATTTATTTATTTTAATTGGAGGCTAATTATTTTACAATATTGTGGAGGTTTTTGCCATCATTGACATGAATCAGCCACAGGTGTACATGTGTCCCACCGTCCCAAATCCCCCTCTCCCTCCCTCCCCATCCCATCCCTCAGGGTTGTCCCAGTGCACCGGCTTTGAGTGCCCTGTTTCACGCATTGAACTTGGACTGGTCATCTGTTTCACATATGTTAATATACATGTTTCAATGCTGTTCTCTCAAATCATCCCACCCTTGCCTTCTCCCACAAAGTCCAAAAGTCTGTTCTTTACATTTGTGTCTCTTTTGCTGTCTCGCATATAGGGTCATTGTTCCCGTCTTTCTAAATTCCATATATGTATGTTAATATACTGTATTGGTATTTTTCTTTCTAATTTACTTCACTCTGTAGTAAGTTCCATCCACCTCATTAGCACTGACTAAAATGTGTTCTTTTTAATGGCTGAGTGATATTCCATTGTATATATGTATCACTGCTTTCTAATCCGTTTGTCTGCTGGTGGGCATCTATGTTGCTTCCATGTCCTGGCTATTATAAACAGTGCTGCGATGAACATTGGGGTACACGTGTCTCTTTCAGATGTGGTTTCCTCAGTGTGTATGCCCAGCAGTGGGATTGCTGGATCGTATGCCAATTCTATTTACAGTTTTTTAAGGAATCTCCACACTGTTCTCCATAGTGGCTGTACTAGTTTGCATTCCCACCAACAGTGTAAGAGGCTTCCCTTTTCTCCACACCCTCTCCAGCATTTATTGCTTGTAGACTTTTGGATAGCAGCCATTCTGACTGGCGTGTAATGGTACCTCATTGTGGTTTTGATTTGCATTTCTCTGATAATGAGTGATGTTGAGCATCTTTTCATGTGTTTGTTTGCCATCTGTATATCTTCTTTGGAGAAATGTCTGTTTAGTTCTTTGGCCCATTTTTTCATTGGGTTGTTTATTTTTCTGGTGTTCGGCTGCATGAACTGCTTGTGTATTTTTGTGATATATTCAGTTTCAGTTAAGGAAATATTATCACCATATCATATAATCAGATCCCTTGGTTTCTCATAAGCAAAAAAAGATGCAGAACATTTTTAAACTTTTTATTTTGCTTATTTTCCATAAATTCTTCTACTTAAAAATAAATAAAGTGTGTAAATAAAACCAAGGTGACTGTTTTGATTAGTTTGAGTTCTGAGGGGTGTAGGTGACTTGATTTTCTTCTGTAATTAGGCAGTACGACTAATTAGGAGTAAAGGCTATCCTGATTTTCATAAATTATGATTTAACTACATAATGATGTGACATTTTTATGTTCTCAAGTGAAACATTTTCTACACTGATGAAATAAAAATGCTTATAACTTTGGAAACTTTATTTTGAAATGCAGCTCACCGTTAATGAAGCGGCTGCTCAGCTCTGTGTAAAGGATAATGCCCTGCTGACAAGAAGAGATGAACTTTTTGCCCTGGCCAGGCAGATTTCTCGAGAAGTCACCTATAAATATACTTACAGAACCACCAAGTAAGTGTGTAACTGACAGTGCTTTTGCAGTTTGATAAAGTAGAGCTTGAAACACAGTCCACTGATAAGAGTATATTTGAGAAAAGTAGAAGTGTGGTTATAATTCTATCAACAGTGAAATGAATTTTCAAAACATTGTTGCTGAAGTTTGTTACTTTGTCTAATCCTCTTTTATTGTCTTTTGAAAGATAGTTCCCTAGCGCTGTAGTGGTGGTCTGGTAGTGGTTCTCAGCATTCCTCTCTCACATAGATGCTTTGGTTTTGAGTGTGATGAAAGGATTTAGTTGAGCAGCATTTATAGACTCATTTGTATACTGTACAAGCTACGTGAACTGTCTCTGAAAGGAGTGTGTTTGCTTTTGCAACGTGTTTGCCAATCTGAGGGGCCTCCCTGGTAGCTCAGATAGTAAAGAGTGCGTGTGGTGCGGGGCACCTGGGTTGGATCCCTGAGTTGGGACGATCCCCTGCAGAAGGAAGTGGCTAGCCCACTCCAGTATTCTTGCCTGGAAAATCCCATGGACAGAGGAGCGTGGCAGGCTACAGTTCCATGTGGTCTCAAAGAGCTAGACACAATTGAGCAACTTCACTTTGCCATCTGATGAGATTAGCTAAAGAGATAAAGACTTCATTACCCAGTATGCAAAGGCAAATTGGAAAATACTAGGTTACTAGTGAGTGAAGTATAGAATATATGTTTGAAATAAACCTCATGTTGAAAAGCAGCGGTGATTTTAAAGTTTAATGTAAACATACACATAATATATTCTTCATCTTACCCTCACTTAAACCCTAAGCATTGTCTGTAGATAGAGGAACATTTTGATCTTGTTCACTTGGCTTCATATGGACCCTGATTTCCAGTGCGTGCTCAGCTGTGCTTGCCACTGCTTCTGTGAGGAGATGAATTAGCGTGACTGAGTGTATATTGAAAAAACCATATCTTGAGTGCCCTTCCCAGCTCTAATAAATCACATTCTCTGGGGATGGAACCTTAGAGTCCACACTTTCACAAGCAGCTGCTATGATTCTTGTGCGTGTTCAAACTTGAAAACCACCTAGACAGGCACTTGCTTTCATCACCATTATTTTCCCTAACTCCTAGTGGTTTTGTCGTCTGTTCCGTCAAGAGCGCATGTACTTAGAAATCAGCAACAAGTAAAATTATGCAAAATAAATGATCAGGGTAAGAATATACAGCAGCATTAGAGGATTATTTACAAGATTTTTTTTTTTAAGTTGAATGTTCAAGAGCTGATTTTTGTGACGTTTTCTTCACTGTGTCATACAAAATTTTCTGACATTTACATAAATAAATTTCTTTAATCAAAGTAGTACATGTACATGGTATATGAAGTCTTATTACACAAGTCTTAAGTACACAAGGCTTATTACAAAGCAGTTACCCTGCTTCCCCTTCTTTCTGAATACTAAGACCCAGAAACCACTGCTTTCAACAATTTTTATTTTTTATAGTATTTATTTACATTTGTATATTTTAAGTTAAATCATTTTGCAATACATAAGACTTTCACATTATAAGTTGAAACTAAGTAAAAAGCTGATGCCAGAAGTTGCACTCTCGTTTCTGTCTTTTTTACTCTGTTCCTCTTCTCATTGTTGGTAGTTTTTATTAGTTTCTTTTTCATCCTTCTAGTGTCTGTCTATGTGCATGTATTTCTCACTTACACCTTTTGTTTTTTTTGGAAAAAAAAGAAGTAGCATGTGTCTATATTATGTTGTATTTCATTCTTAGTTTAACATGTCTTAGAGATCTTGCTGTATTAGTACAGATACATCTTCGTCACTATTTTTTTAACAGCTGCAGGAAACTGCATTATGTGGATCTACCATGATTCATTTAACCAGTCCCTTGGTGGACACATGACTTGTCTCTAGTCTTTTGTCATTATAAGTAATACCACATTAACCTCATACATATTTTGTTGATTCTGAGATGTGTTTTTCGACATTTTAACATCTTTTGTGTTGAGGTATAACTTAAAAATTTATGAGTTGCCATAGTTGAATTGCCGGTTAGATTTGATGTTTGTGTATGTGCTTCTGTGGGATAGATTCCCAGCAGAGGGATACCTAAAGATCAAGGGAAGATGCATGTATAGTTCTGGTAGATAGACAAAATGTACTTTAATCTCATGTAGCCTTAAGCATTCATCTTAAATGGTCATTATTGTCATTTTATTCTAAATTGTACTGATTCATGAAGGATCTCATAGAATACAGTCCTCGATTTTTTCCCTTTTTCATTTTATGGTACTCATTAATACTGAGTATTTTCTGTTTTAGGCATTCTTAGGTAGTGGCCATTTAAAATGTATAATGTAGTTGTGTTTGTCTGTTTCCCCATTGTTAACCTAGAAATTATGAAAAGTCTCTTTTTCATTATTTAATGTTCATTATGAATGTCTTGTTTCTGGTGGCAGGGTTCCAGAGTTGTTTGTTTTGGTGGAAGTTTATAGATTTAGATGCCTTTAGAAAAAATTTGTTACTTTCTCAAATTTTTCTCTCTCCCTCATTCCCCTCAGGTCAAAATGTGGAGAGAGAGATGAATTATCCCCGAAGAGAATTAAAGTAGAGGTATGATTATGTGTTATCTTTTCTTATGCTAATAGTGTTTGCTTACTAGTTCAACTGAAAAAGAAGGAATGGTCCCATCAGCTAGTGAGAAAATGTGAATTGTGGAATCTGAAAAATGATACAAAATGTGGTCACTTTGAAGTATCTGTAGTAATTTGAACTAGGATACTCAGAAAACTCCTAGAAGGAAACAGCAGTGATGAGCTTGGGGCCCAGTCAGTTTATCAAAGGTTGATTTGTAAATAGTTGTTTCTTACAGATTTAAAACTCCTTACTGGTTAAACTGTCCCTTTTATAATTTTATTTACATCGTTAGTCATCAAGTAGACTCAAGGAGCTAAAGTATAATTTCTTTATATTAAATATCTGAGAGAAGTGACACTTAAGTAGCTGTAAGTTATGAAAACTTTACTGTAATTAAAAGCCTCTTTTAGGGTATAACTGCTGAGGCTGTCTTTCTGATTTTAGACCTGTGAGTGGTAAGGTGAGTTGAGCAAGAAAAATATGTTTTTCTTAGGGCTCTCAGAACTAGTTTCAGAATGACTGCTCTTTAATTTGGATTTTTCTAAAGGCCAGTCTGAAGCAGAGCAGGCAGCTCCTTTTTTTCTTGGACAGGGGAGAGAGGTCACTACTCTTGGTCATTCATTATTTAATTTCTTGTTAAGGAAAACAAGCTGTGTTTAACTACACTAAATTTCCATAATCAGGTTATTCTTGCTAAGCATCTGATTGCCTGCAATAATCTTTCATTTATACCAAAGCCAGAGTTAATCTTTTAAAAACATACATCCCTTTTCTTGCTTAAATCTTTCTAGTGGCTGTCTACTCTGCCTAGAATAAAAGCTACACTTCTTCCTGAGGCTCCGAAGACCCTGCCTGAGCTGACTCTGACCCGACTCTCTAACCTCATCTGCTTCCACACTTCCCCATTCTTACTGTGTCCCAGCTCCACTGACTGCCTTTCTGTTCCTGGAACACGTCAGACTCAGGTGTGCCTCCTCGCTGGCTGGCTGTTGCCCCCCCCCGGATCTCTCTCTAGGTCTTCATACGGCTTCAGCTTGTAGGCTTCAGCTTGTAGCCGTTTCCTTGGAGCTCCCTGCTTGTCTCCTAAAGAGGCACCATCACCCCCCATCGCGTCTAGGCTCTCTGTCCTGGCGGGGCGTGTTTGTTTTCATAGCGCTTTCCTGTGTCTGAAACTCTTACGCGGATGTGTTTTTAGTTTGTTACTGGTCTGCCCCATTAGGTGAAAGTAGAGCCCTTATCTGTCCACTACTTTTACTTAGTTTATAATAGCGCCTTGTGTGGGACTTAAAGTCTGTTAGATGAAATCATGAATGGCCATGAGTAAATACCTTTACGTTCTAAAAGCTTTAGCCATACACAGTGGTTCTCACTGAAGAAAAATGTCCAAAATGAGCGCCTTTTTAAAAAGTGTGTTTATGTTTGTAATCTGCTTCAGTGTTAACTCTGGAGTAATGTTTAAGATGGGTTAACCTCACATATAGTACTCAAAAAACTTATTGAAATGACCTAAGGCCATTGAAAGAGCTAGCTAGTGCAATATTTTCTCCTGTTGCCTCTCAAAATAATGAGTAAGAGAGAATCTCTGTGGATTTATCTGTTAGTGACTCTGCCTCTAGAAGGGAAACTGGATAAACAAAGAAACTACTAAAGGGTAAGTGGAGGATTTAGAGGCAGGAAGGTACAAAACCTACCCTGTGGCCAGGAAAGGTAATCAGTCAGCTACTGGGTTATTAGAGAATATGTCTGCCTCTCTTTCTCAACCATTGACCCTCCACGCCATTGTGACTCAGGCCGTTCTCAAATTTTCAAGCCATGATTTCCTTTTGTCTAGCTTCAGAGGTTACTGGTGAACACTGAAGTCTGAGATCATGAATCTCATGGACTCATGTTGGAGCTGAAGTGTTTTCTTGTTATGCTGTATTGATAAGTCTTTCTGACCCTCTCAATAGCCCTGATCTGAAATGTAAGCTGATTATTTCTATATCCAGTTACAGTGTTTTGGATTTCTTCTTAGGAGCTCACAGTGTTAGGTTGAAGTTAGATGTGACCCTTCCAGTCCTTTATGTTCACTAGAGATATTTGAGTTATGCGTGCGTTTTAAGTTGCTTCAGTTGTGTCTGACTCTTTGCAACCCTGTGGACTATAGTCCGCCAGGCTCCTCTGGCTATGGATTCTCCAGGCAGAAATACTGGAATGGGTTGCCGTGCCCTCCTCCAGGGGATCTTCCCAACCCAGGGATTGAACATGCATCGTTTAGGTCTCCTGCATTGTCAGGCAGGTCCTTTACCACTAGCGCCATCTGGGAAGCCCCAATTGAATTATAGTTCTATATGATTAGTTTATTACTTTACTAGACTTCCCAAAGTCATTTGCACAGTTGTGGATTTAGGATTAAGATAATCATTGTTTCCTTTTTCTGTGAATAACAGTTCTAACCCTTCCTAAACAGAGAAGTGACTAATAAACCCCAAGTGTTCTTAAAGACACTAAACTCTTGATTTTAAAAATGAATAGGGACTTTGGCTTTGAATTTACGACAGCTGTTTACTTTTGTTGGTTTATTTTTTTGTCTTGTTTTTGCTTAGTGTTTTTTTAAAAACTTGTGTATTGCAGAGCATTGATTTATGCAAAATGTGTGTTATGCCTGTGTGTATACCTACACATGTATATAGTGTAATGTGTAATGCTTTGTAAAATACACAGTACTGGCATAAATGGTGTTATATGCCTGTCCCTGCTAGGCACTTGAAATTCTCTTGTGTATAAATTCTCTTGTGTACTCTAAGTCAGATTTGAGATCCTGGAGCTGTTCATTTGGTTTCGGAAGCTGACACTGAGGTAGTTAGTATTAGCAGTATAGGGTTACACTCCCCTAAGAAGACCACCAAGCATTAGTGCTTTATTTATGTCTACCTTCTCTGTGGCTGCTGGGGTGGGGGGAGAATTTCTGGCATGAGAAGATTAGGGGAGGCTTAATGAGGAGATACCATCTGAGCTGGATTTTAAAAGAAGGGTAGGATTTCAGAAGGTAGGGATGTGGGGTGGAAGGTGGAGGGGCATTGCAAAGAAAGACTAGCATGGGCAAAGACACAGAGGTAAGAAAATACTCTGTGTGTTTAGAGAAAAGTAAGACCAGTTTTTCCAGAATATATGGCTGACACAAAGGACGTCATAAGTAAATGAGAAAGATTTTAGAATTCTTTGAGTATACTGTTTGTCTTATTTCATTTGAGTATTGTTTTGTGATTCTTAGCTCATTAATTCTCTATTAAGAAAAAGTTATATAAAAATAAGCTTAGCTTATTGTAGTGTAAGATTCCTAATTACTAGACTCAAATTAATGAGTCCTTTTTTTCTCTTCATTTTTCCAAAATTTTTGTCAGCAATCAGTGAGCATATTTGCCAAGTGGCTAAGTTTTTTCAATCTTAAAAAGATCGTTTTTAAGATCTGTAACATCGGAGAACAAAAAGAAATGTAGTGTCTGATAGATGAAATAGAAGTAACTCAGAGTAGACATGGAAAGGAAAGAGAAACATTTTCTTTTGCGCCATTCTCAATGCATGAGAATACACTAAAAAACTAGTGCTTTATTCACGCTCAGTAGTTGCCATATTTTCCTGATCTGTTGGTGAGAGGTGGAGTGGAACAAAATGTTAAAATCCTTGTCTGATTTTTCTCTTATTAGATAGAGAATATTATCCATCCATATATGTATATATATATATAGTTGTTCTCCCTAAGAACTAGTTAACTATTTATTTGATTTGTCAGTGTTGAGTGTCAGTATACATGTTGTGAAGTACTCAGGATAATCTCTTATTCTTGAATAGTGTTCCTTCCTGTAGGGATATAAGATATTAAGAAACGTAGAAGTTTGGAACTTTATAATTCCTGGAATATATGAGATGGTCACGGAGAAAAAAGGCTGCTGACTTCCGGAGGCCTTGTTAGGGTAGCCTGTCACTTATTATACAGCCTCTGGGGAAAGCCTCTTTGGCCCTATATGTTAGTGAGGTTTGGGAATATTTCTCCTGTTGAGGCTAGATCGCCGTCCTCTGTGAATCCACTTTCAGCTAAAATGCTAATGGATTACATTTATTCTTTTTCATTAGAGACCTCAAAGCTAGCTCTGGGTCATTTGTGGAAATAACTGATTTTATTGAATCTGTTATGTGCCTGTCCCTCTAGGCATTTAAAATTCATTATCACAAACCTTGTCTACTCTGTATGAAGGCTTTATGAGTTCCACTTACAGCCAAGGATAAACCCAGAAAGGCTCAGGAACTTACCTGCCTTTTAACATTGCTATCTAGTAGCCAGAGCCTGGCCTTCAAATCTAGGTCTGACTTGTAAACTTCAAAGCAGTACCACTCTCTTGGGTGCTGATGATCATTCACAAAGCACCTAAGGTGTGAAAAATGCTTTCCTCCTGCTAGAATGGTAAGAGTGGCAAAATGTGCACAAGACTGGGAGTCTGAGGGAAAGAATGTGCAGAGGGAAAGAATGACAGTTATTATCTAATTCAAGGAAGTTATGCATCTTGAGTAGAAAATCTAACAATGTAAGTTACAAAATGTAATAACACCATTTGACATACTCATTTTTTAGAATGAAGAAGAAACAGTGCATTGGGAAGATTAGCAGAATAAATCAAGAAAAATTAGTTACAGTTTTTTATACTCTGTGACAAATGTATTTAAGAGGGCTTGATCGCAAGTTAAAGGAGATGAAAAATCAAGAGCCAAAGTCGCTGACTCTCTTGCCTTCCTCTCAGTTATAACATTAGTTATGAGTGGATTCAGTTGATATCTCTTCTTTTTTATCAAGAGCGTATCCTGTGAACAAACCCTGTCCTTTCCTCCAGTGTAATAAACATTACGGTAGGAGAGAGGGAGGATGAGTGAAACAAGCAGTCTTAGCCCTGGTGACAGCAGCTGACTGAATGGACTGTTACTGTTTAGCCCCGTCTCTCAGTTTTCTTCGCTCCGTGAAATCGCCAGGGACCAGGCGAAGGGATGAGAGGTGACAGCATTCTTGGTCCTATGTGGGCTGGGAGTGCACAGCAGTCAGGGATAACTGGAGGAGAGAAATGAAGTTTGTTAACAGAGACCAGAAAGTCAGAGGATTGGGGCTTGAAAAAGGACTTAGAGGAAGCATCTGCTAGCAGTCCCCACGGGGTGGGGGTGGGAGAGTGAGGAAGGAGGGGGAGGAGGGTCAGAATATCCACCTACGCTGTTACCAAGCTTGCTGAAAGGAAAGCTGGTCTAATTTGATGTAGACTCTTCCCCTCTGGATCAGAAAAACAGAAGCATTACAATCTGCTATTCATACAGAAAGTGTGAGTAGAAAAAGGGAAAATGCACGTGTGAGACTAAGAACATCTGTTGGAACAAGTCTTTTTAAAGATAGCTAAGCAGTGGTTTTAAAGCGAGTTGCTAGTATTTTGTGGAAAAGGATGAGGAGGGATGGGGGTGGCGACCAGTGAGATGAGAGTAATTAGATCAGGAGCAGCATCCCACCCTGTATATTTTATTTTCTCAGGGCTCAGACTCAGACTTTCTCCAGTAAGGGAACACAGTGGTTAATGACAGCAGCCAGACATGGCAGGAAGACACATTGCTCGTAGCATGGTACAGCTGGTTCCCGGGCGAGGAGCTTCAGAAACATGCCAAGAAGAGGCCTGCACCAAACTTGATTTGGAAAGAGACCATTTTCTGGGGAAGGTTCTCAGTTTCATTTCTAAGTTGTATGTTTTGGGGTACCTTAAACTTACTTTCTATGTCATGAAGTGAAAGCTACTCAGTCCAGTAGTTTTCTCATCCGTGATGAACTGTCAAAAGACTGGGACAAAATTGGGCTGAGTAATGAACCCAGCTGAGAGAGACCACTGACCTGTGTCCTTTACTGCTTATTGCATGCTTTTCTTTCTCTTTATTACTGATGGAGCAGTGTCCATTTTGTAAAAACTTTGCCCATGTCGAGTTTGAGGTTCTCCCAGCTTTTCAGAATCTTCAGGGTTAATAATCCTGACAGTGGTGCAGCCATATATTTCTATAGCAATGTGGATTTTCCAGACCTTTACCATTTGCATTATTTTATTTAGTCCCCACAAATTTCCATTGAGCAGTTAAACTATGTTTTAGTCTCCATTTAAAAACTGGGAAAACTGGAAGCAGTGAGGTTAACTTTCCATTCATCTGTTGATGGACATTTAGGTTGCTTCTTGTGTCTTGGCAATTGTAAATAATGTTGCTGTGAACATTGGGATGCATGTATCTTTTCCAATTAGTGTTGTTGTTTCTTTTGGGTATATACACAGGAATGGAGTTGCTGGGTCATGTGGTGGTTCCATACTGCAAAGCTACAGTAACCAAAACAGTATGGTGTTAGCACACAAAAATAGACAAATAGATTAATAGGTTAATGGAATAGGATAGGGAGCCCAGAAATAAACCCACACACCTATGGCCAGTTCTGCAGGAAGGAGGCAAGACTATACAGTGGAGAAAAGACAGTCTTTTTAATAAGTCATGCTGGGAAAACTGGATACCTACACGTAAAAGAATGAAATTAGAATATTCCCTAACATCATATTACAGCAGTAAGCTGGAATGGATTAAAGACCAGACGCTGTAAAACTCCCAGAGGGAAACATAGGACGTTCTCTGACAGAAACCTTAGTAACTTATACATCTATTCTGTATCTGTCTTCTAAAATAAAGGAAATAAAAGAAATGCCTCTAGTAACTGCTGTTAGCTTCACAAAGGTGGCACCTCAAGGGTTTTATGGTTCTGACATAGGCTTTGAAGCCAATGTCTGTAGCTATAAAATGAGGGAACTCTAGGGTTGTTTGTGGGATTAGATGAGACAGTACAAGTAAAATACAGGACATAGGTAGGAAACTGGTTGATTGCAGGCACTGGAAAAATGATAGCTGCTCTCACTGATGTTGTTTTCTCCTGGCTTACCTCGTTGAACTTTCAAACTTAAAGGAGGATTTGTTAAAGATAAAGCTGGGTTTTAGGTCTAAATAAATTCTTAGGTGAAAAGTGGAATGACTAAGAAAAGTGTACTTTTTGTTTAAATTATATACACTTCTATAAAATTCATTCTAGTTCAGTTAATGATTGTATTCTATGCATTCCTTTGAGCCCAGGGTCCTTGGTCTTGTACAGGCTTAGAAAGGTGGCTTTTCTTAATTTAGAATGGCTGATTTGTATATCAACCCACCATGGAGCTACGTAAGACTATTTCAAGATGTTAAATTTACTTTCTTTTGACTCTAAATTACTTTATTTCATGTCTCTGAATTTTTTAAAAAATGGATAGTTATTAATAATTACTAGGAAATGAATTTGAGTAGATGCAATATTTGAAAATACGAGATTTGCAGTGGAGAAACAATTTTTTGCAAAGACCCTGATGGGGAAAATCTGAATCAGTACTTCATACTTGAAATAGTATAAATAATTTGTTATTGTCACATCTTTTTCTGCTCTGTTATTATATAACAGCTTTAGTTTTTCATTGTTGACCCTTTGCTACAAACGTAAAGCTTTATCAAACAAGGAGAAAAATGTTTTGGAAGTTAGTGACAGTATCTTTGAGGATCTCTTGAGTAATTTTTAGTAGAGTTAGTAAAACCATGTTATCATGATGTTTGTAGTTATAAATTTTATATGGAGCACTAAACAGGCAAAGGAATTTGATAAAATTAGTAAATAAATTTGCATATATATAATATGTATATATGTATGGTATAAAATGGAAATAAGTTGAAGTGTTATCCAAGAGGAGAGTGCCCCAAGTACACTCTACTTAATATAAGAATAGATATAAATAAGTATACATAAGAATACCAACTGATATATTTATTCAGTAGTTATTGTATGCTAAAGGCAGTATCTCATTTGCTTTATCTCACAACAGCCCTGATAGATAGGATAGGTTATCCTGATTCTCCATATGAAGAAACTAAAGTGCAGAAGGGTTAAGTTACTCATCCAGCGTCATGTAGCTAGTAAGTGGTGGTGGAATCAGAACACAGGTAAAGGTCTTTCTGATTCCTCACTTCATTGTCTGTCCTGTGAAATGGTAAAGGAGAAATGTCAAGTCAGCTTGGAAGAATTCTGCAGAAATCCGGGTTGGAAGTTTACTTTGGATCTTTACACATTGTGTATAACAAAATAAATTCCAGATAGGTTAGAGAGTTAACATATTAAAAATGAAAGAAACAGTAGAATAAAACTTTAGAAAACTGGGGGGTAGATTTGAGTACCTCTCAAATCTCCAAAAGAGAATGTCTTTTGAATTGTATAGTAATAGAAGAAATCACAAAGTAAATAAGTGTATATTCAGTATAGCTACAATATGTAAAGTTAAATTTTTTTGACTATCAAAACAAAAATATAAATTGGCAAAAATTAAGAAAACAACACCCAGTACTGGCAAGGAAGACTGTCATACTTTGCTTAGGATACAGTAAAGCAGTAAAGGCCCTTGAGGAACATACGTGATGGACATAAAAGTCTTCATCCTTTTGTACCAGTTCTATTTCTGGTAATCTGTTGTATTTTAAACTATAGAAAATGCTATTTCCATGAAAAGTATTTTTGCGGTATTTTTCATAAAACCAAAAAATAAGGCAAATAATCTAAATGTCCAATATGAAGATGGTGATTAAACAGTCAAACCACCAGATGAAATGTTATATAATCATTATTATCAGTGATCATAAAATCTGTGTTTCAGTGTAAAACACTGTGAATGTATAAACTTTTTCATCTTTTTCTCCTGTGTTTTTATTGAGGTTGCAACTGTGGAAATAAGGTAATTAATTCTACCATGAAAGACTGAAATGAAGTATTGTATGTTAAAATCTTAATCTTGATTTTTCAGATATCAGGATTAAGGTGAATTTCTTTGCTTCATCTTCTGAGTTTTTGATAATATGGTTATTTTAAAGTAAAAAGTACATATTCTTTGACCCACAGGATGGGTTTCCAGATTTCCAGGACTCTGTGCAGACACTCTTCCAGCAGGCTAAAGCTAAGAGTGAGGAGCTCACTGCTCTTAGCTCACAGGTAACATCAGCCATTAGTTAACACTTCATAACAGCTTCGGTGGGTGAAAAACTCAATGGCCCCTTCAGCTAGCTTCAGTTTTAAATTCAGTTTCATCCAAAGACTAAATTTATTCCTGGTTGTTTTTACAATGTCATCTGATCCACAGCTGTGTCAACAAGATAGCAGTATCAGCTAGGTTTGGTCTGCTTTGTGAGCAGAACCCAGGATCTGCTACTTCTTTATTCTTTGAGGTTTTGTAGGAAGTAAGACAGATTCTCTACTTAAGAAAACTCAGAAGAAGCAACTTAATATCAGGAAAACAGCCATGTTGACTCTGCATGTATTATAGCTCTGAGATAAAACAATTCTAGTTTTCAATAAAATAGTAATACCAACATTATAGCTAATGTTGAATCATTTCAATTCATGTGTAATGAAAAACTAATATGTACTTTCAGGTGCTTTTGCTACTAAGTAATTTTATTGTATACACAGAAACTAACATTTTTAAAAGTCATTTTTGCCTTTTAGTAGGTACTGTAAGTTTTATTCTGATTGATCTTCTCACTTCTAATGACCAATTTGCTTTTGGTCAGATTTAGTGGTGCCAAGTTTTGTGTTTTCATGTGAAGAGGATGAAAAATAAATTTTCTTCCTCCAGAAATCTTATTGAAATTTTATTAATTAGTAATAAATGAATTGGAAGTTATGATTCCTTTTAATCTGGTTTATTTGATTCAAAAAAATAGTTTAAGCTTTTATTCTATTTTATGAGTAATTTTATGTGTTAGCATATTTCACCTATTGATTTTTACTATTGTGAATCAGGATTATTGTAACTAATTTTATATAGCATATTCCTTGTATGAGTCTCCTGTGTATGAATCCTCTATGTAGCATAGCAGCGATTCATACCTGTGCCTTTGGACTATTACCTCCTTGGCAAAATATCACAAATACAGTGCTCTGAATATCACACACAGGTAATTTAGAACAGTGCATAGAGAAGGGACTTAGAAAACACACGTAGATATAAATTTACATGTCAGCCAACTAATTGTGTATTTTAAAACATGTCATTTGATGAGTGGTTGGAAAATACTGCAGTTTCATTCCATGATGAAGGTGAAGATCCTCGTTGGCACTGAGGTTTTTCTGCATAATTTGCATTGTTTAATTTTGGTGGGAGGTGTGTTTGTCTGGTTCTTCTAGACAGCCGTTTTACACCTTTTCTCCCCCAAACATACTGTCATCATATCGGAGTTTGTGTAGTGCCAAATCCTAAAATAAAAACGCCAAGATTTCACCCTGTGTTAGAAGCAGTTTATAGCAGATGGTGCTGTTGCTCTGAGGTTCTTTTTTTAAAAAAATCTTTAAAAGGACTTGGTACCTTGGAAAACAAAGCTAAGGTTATTCTGCTTTTGAGCTAGAATGGAATTCTCTTTATAGGACTGAGCAGAAAGCTTTTTTCCTTTTGTACAAAATCCAGCATTCTGTGTTTTAACATGATGGTATAGACATCGGTGCATATTTATAGAACGTGTATACCACATGAAGTGTGAACTAATTTTAATGAATACTAAATATATTTGCTGGAGTCTGAAATTGGCATCTTTAGACCATTAAAAAATCTAGGATGTTTTAGTTATTTTATTTTCGCTTTACTTACTAGCAGCCTGAAAAGGTGATGGCAAAGCAGATGGAGTTCCTTTGCACCCAAGCTGGCTATGACCGGCTGCAGCATGCTGAAAGAAGACTGTCTGCAGGACTGTACAGGCAGAGCTCAGACGAGCACAGCCCTAACGGTCTGACTTCAGACAGTGCCGAGGGACAAGGTACGTCCTGAGAGGGACCCGCACCTTCAGTGCCGGCTGCTCTGGGCACTTCAAAGAGAAACAAGCGAAAATGTGCTTATAGTTCTCTATCAGAATTTTTAAATTGTCCCTTTTTCTAAAGAGGAAAGAATTCTTCTGCAAATTTAGTTTGTAGGTTTTTTTTTTAACCTTGTTGTTTAGTTGCTACGTTGTGTCTGACTCTTTGAGACCCACATGGACTGCAGCATGCCAGGCTTCCCTGTCCTTCACTATCTCCCGGAGTTTGCGCAGACTCATGTCCAATGAGTCGGTGATGCCATCCAACCATCTCTGTCATCCTCTGTCACCCCCTTCTCCTCCCGCCCTCAGTCTTTCCCAGCATCAGGGTCTTTTCCAATGAATCGGCTCTTTGCATCAGGTGGCCAAAGTATTGGGGCATCAGCTTCAGCATTCGATTCTTCCTTCCAGTGAATATTCAGGGTTGATTTCCTTTAGGATTGACTGTTTTGATCTGCTTGCAGTCCAAGGGACTGTGAAGAGTCTTCCCTAGCACCACAACCCTAAACAAGAGCTGGCCCATGTAATTGACATGTATTTTGTAGAGGGTGGATGGGAGATGTAAACAGTATAGATCATTTTTCCTCAAGAAATTAATTCCATGGGAGATGTTAATCATTTTTTAAAAGACTAAAACTGTATTTTTTTAAGACTACATAAGCAGATTTGTCTAAAATTTACAACATTTGGTTCCTAACAGAGTGTGGTAACTGTGTCTAAAATACTATGACAAAATAAGAGATTTGAAGAGAGTATAAGAAGGGAGAGACTTGTAGAAATGTCATCTTTTTTCAGGCTTCACGTTGTTCTGTAGACTCTGAAGATATTTTGTGTGGCATATACTTCGGAAATTGTTCTCTTAAACTCTTTAGATGTAAAAGGCTTTGCTTCTTGAGTATTTTAACCAGTTTTTAAATTACTTCATTTGTATTTACACATGAAGAAAATTCCAAGTGACTGTCATGCACTCATTCAGCAAATATTTTTTTGTATCTCCTGTGTGCCACACTTCTAGATATTGAAAATGTAGCGGTAAGTCAGATAGACCCTGCTCCCTTGGGGCTTATGCTCCAATGGAGAAAGATGGATAGCATTGAAGTATCAGAGTAGATCCTCTAGTTTCAAATAGTGATAGTGTTTGAAGAAAAGCAACTTTGTAGGACCTTTTTTATGTATTACTGTTACACCTTTTTAGAGAGTGGTTACTATAGTCAAAAAAATAAGATTTCTAAATAGGAATACCGTCCTAACCAGCCTTCTTCAACTATAGAGTAAAACATTACACGTTAGCAGATCAGAGTAGTGGTGAAGAACATTCTTCCTTTAAAATGTTACAGAAACTTTAGTGGAGGTCTTGTTTAACTTCTCCAGTCATCCTTGACAGTTAAGATTAGAGTTAAGAAATGTTAGTCACTCAGTTGTGTCCAATTCTTTGCCACCCCGTGGACTGTATTCCACCTGGCTCCTCTGTCCATAGAATTCTTCAGGCAAGAATACTGGAGTGGGTGGCCATTCCCTTCTCCAGGGGATCTTCTGACACAAGGATCGCGCCCAGGTCTTCTGCCGTGCGGGCTGATGCTTTACCATCTGAGCCACCAGGGAAGCCCAAGAATTAAGAGTCAAAGACATTAATGGAAGATTGGATTATTCTCGTTTGCGACACCAGGATACTCCAGTGCAGGGCAGCAGTTTGCTAAGTGTGATGGATTTAGGTTTATGATAGGGAATATGATTTGGTGTATGAGACATTTTTTACCATATCTGTGCTAATTACATCTTTTTCTGGCTGTGCCACAGGTTTTGCTGTTGTTCTAGTAATTGGCAGTTGGCTTGAAGTCATCTCTGTGTCTGTGTGTGAAAGTGTTAGTCGCTCAGTCGTGTCCAGCTCTTTGCGATCCCATGGACTGTGGCCCACCAGGCTCCTCTGTCCATGGGATTTTCCAGGCAAGGATACTGGAGAGGGTTGCCATTCCCTTCTCCAGGGGATCTTCCCGACCCAGAGATTGAACCCAGGTCTCCTGCATTGAAGGCAGATTCTTTACCATCTGAGCCACAGAAGAGATTTCTTGTCAATAGAATTTGTTATTATGTGGTTAATGACCTACCTTTGTAAAATGGCTACACTAATAAGAAAATGCCTAGAAATCTCAGTCTTTTGTTTCATTTGTGATTAGCTTGTCGAAGTGTCCTGACAGAACAATAAATTGTGAGACTAGCTTGAATTGCCATTTCCTTCCTCAGTTATTATCTTAAATATTTCTCCGGCTAGCATTTAAATTCTTCAGGGCCTGTTGACTTTCCTTACTTATTTCTTAAGGAGTGTTCAGGCAATTCATGGAAACTTATTTTTAAGAAAGCCGTGATGCATTTTTAATTATTCATATTCCTTTTTTTCTTTTCATTAGGAGAAAGACCTTTGAATCTCCGAATGCCTAATTTACAGAACAGACAACCCCATCATTTTGTGGTGGATGGGGAGCTGAGTAGACATTACTCCAGTGAGGCACAGTCCCACTCATCAGGTGAAAATGTAGGCTGTGATTAGAGGGAGTCATACTTGAATAAAACGTATTTTGATTCTAATCTCCTAACTTCTGTTTGTCCCTCCTTAAAAAGGTGTCATTGCTAATACTGTTACTAGTCAGTTTTCTCGCCTTGGAAATAATAGATTGCCATATTAACAGCCAGTTTTGCTTTTTTTTTTGAAAACATGATATTCCAAAGAATAGACAGGGAAAAGCTCTTGAAGGTTGAGATTATTTTGATTACCTATTACATGAATGGTGGCTTTATGCAAGATTGTAAATCAGGTAATAAATGACTGGCTTCAGATATTATATTCCCTTTTCCAGACTTTCATAATATGAAATTGATTATATGTTTGCTATCTTGCTAAGAGAACCACTTGTGTTTTTCTAAAATCTAAACTTTTCAAGCAACTGCATTTGGGGGATGATATTTGTATTTCAGAAGTAAACTGAACTCCATAAAAGGGCAAGCCGTTCCTCATATAGTCGGTGTTTTCATGTTTTTATGCAAGTAAAGTGAGTGAGAGTTAAAGGTATTAGAGACCAACACCATTTGAAAGAATCCAGTATTGTTCAGTCTGAGTTAAAGTAACTTTAAGAATCACTTGAAGTCAGTTGTATCATCTGTGAAACATTATTCCTGCCTCATTGAATAGTTAGGAGGATTAAACAGGATAACCTGTATGAATTGCCTGGCTGATAGGAATTCAGTAAATGGTAGCTACTATTACTCTTTGTATGCTGAATTTCTGTACAGAGAGGGACATTCATAAAGTCAACTACCTAATCTCAGATAAGCTATTAATGTTGGTTACTTTTCTAGAATCCTTTTTACAGTGTATGTGTGTATCCCCCAGTATTAATACTTCACATAAATAAATACTACATTTTATTGTCATTCTGTAGCGTGTGTTTGAGGTTCAAATAATTATTCATGTAACTCTTAAGGAATGAGTCCTTATGAAAAATAGAATCTTCATTGTTTTATCCCTGTTTCTCCCACATTAAGGTTTTGTGACTAGAGAAACTTAAAAGTAGTCCCATGTTTAAACATGGAAAATGTCTTTCTGCCTCATGTCTTCATTGGTAGTAAATATTTTGGCCAGTAATTTGTTTGTGAGTGACCAGTTTTATTCTAGATATTTTACTTATCACTTTGGACCAAGCATTAAATAAAAATCAGTAAGTTCTATATGCTGTGTGCTTTACATGAGTTTTGTAATTTAGATTTCATACTACCATGTGTAGATCCTATCCACATTTTATAGATGAAGACACTAAGGCTTAGAGAGATGTGTAACTTGCCTAAAGATGTATACAGCTAGTAATTGGTAGAAATGGAGTATAAATCCAGAATCCAAAATCTTAGCCACGATTTTATAAACATAAAAATTTTATATGGAATTGCAGTTACGAATAGTTGATACTGCTTGCTTTTGGGTTTGAGTTTGGGGGTTTCTTTTTGGTTTTTTTTGTGACCTTTGATTTAAAGTATTAATATATTTTGTGTTTCCATTTTTATAGAGAGCCTTGGGATTTTAAAAGACTACCCTCACTCAGCTTTTACTTTGGAAAAGAAAGTCATCAAAACAGAGCCTGAAGATTCAAGATAGCTGTGATTCTTCACTGTTCTCTGGAAATGGCATCAGAGCTAAGGATAATGCTCCATCATAGAAATAAGCCTTAATAACCAATGTTGCCTCATTCAACACAAACAGATTTCATAGCCAAAGCATAAGGACTGATACAGTAGTCTGGAAACCAGGAAGACAAAACTACAGCCACAAAGGAATAAATTGAGAGAATGTTGCAATCTGTAACAGAAGTACTGATCCACATTCCTGTGTAAGTCATTTTATGTGGAAAGGCTTACAAATTAATACTGTAAGCATTCATTATTTAAGAATGTACAATGTATTTGTGTAATTTATAGAAGTAAAATCTAGATGTTGAGACCTGTTTGGACCAATAGATGTGGATAAAGTTTATTTTACTTGAAATTTCATTGTCTGCTTTAAGTGTTTTACGTAAATATTATTGTATGTCAGAGTTTAGAATCTTTGCAGTCATAAAAAAGAAGGTTTAAGTGATGTAGTTGTTGGCAAGGTTGTAAATGACTTTGGAAAAATGGAAAAGAGATACTCAATTTAAGCCAAGGAAAATATTGTAGTTTTAATATCTGATAAAACTGATTTTGTTTAAATAGGAAATGTCTCATTTCTTAGCAGTCAGATGTCATTTTTACTGGCTTAATTAGGCAATAGTTAATAAATACTGGAGTAAAGTTAAAAAGATGAGCAATAGAGTAGAAAAAATCTCTCCTACCTGGTTGATCCAGGTTGCGTTCTGTGATAGCTACTTAAAGGGTAACGAAAATACGAAGCTGCTCCTTGGACAGAGAACCTGAAATAGATGGACCGATGCACAAAAGCCTTGACTTAAACACTGTTATTTCAGAACGTGTTATAGATTGAGACATAGTAAGTTAATCCTAAATGTGATAAGAATGATGACTGTTAACAAAGGCTATATATATAGTAGAGTAAGCACTGTTTTATATCCAGAAATTCCTGTACGTAGAAAATCCTTTTCTACATACCAGAGTCAGAGAAGCTAGATGGTTCTCCCTGGGGAACGTCTTCCCATCCAAACTGTTCACAGTTGTGGACGACCGGTGCATCCACATTTGCAGGCATATTTCTATGGAGGTTTAGTTGACGCCTATATTCATTATTTATTTTACAATTTCATTTTTGTATACTTTTTGGATATATGAATGCAGTTTTTTCTTAAAACTCATTTTAACTTGAAAATCGGTTTTAATTCTCCCTGTTTAGTTAGTGGGCTGTATACATATATATGAGTGTGCTTAAATGTTAATAACATACTTGCATACTTATCAGAATTTCCCATTGGAATCCATAGTGAAAAACAAATACTAATTCTACCAATGTATATTTTTTCTGTTGGCTTAAGAGGAGAAGACGTTTGACAGCTTTACCTCCTTCCTCCAGATTTAAACCCAGATATTGCCCAGGAGAGTGTATTGACTTGGAATATGTGTTTTTTGTTTTCAATTCTGCTCTAGGTCATAACTGAATAAAGAATATTAAGTTGTAGTCTATTATATTAAAATTCGTCAGCCAGATGTCAGATGAAATGTCTGCATTGTAGTCCCTGATCACTGTCACATATGTAATTCCTTTTTCGTGTGGATTTGTAGAATAGCTTTACAGTAGAGACACCAGTAAACAACTTTTATACTGTTAAAAGGCTTTTTTCCCCTTCTTAAATGTTTTAATTGTACCATAGTGTTTTGCCCACTGAAGAAGCTTTTTATGGACCTTGCAACTTTGTTGCTAGCTTGAGGTTGATAATTGTGGTTGTTCACTGTATGTAGAAATAGTATGAATATAATTTACATAGATTGTTCAGTTTTTAATATTAGCCATAGAACTGGTTAGTATCTCAGTAGTTTCATGAAACGTTTCCTGTATTCTAATCTATTTTGAGAAATTTTGTGGGTTTTTTTTTAATTGTGTCTTATAGTTCAAGTTTGTAGATTTTAATAAGCAACAGTTTTTAAAGATGTGATAATCTTCCAACTAATATTTATCTGTCTTTCATGACCACACAAACTGCACCTTTAAATCCATGAATAAGTTTCCTTAAGTATCATCCTTCTCTGGTCTTCCTGTGCTGGGTGATAGGGGGAAGCACAAGAAAAATTTCAGTAGAATACAGTTTTTATTTTGTAAACACTAATGTATTAAACTTGCTATACATTGAAGCAAATAATATATATTTTTATTTGAATTGTATATATGAATTGGATGTTATAACTAGTCGATTTTTTTCATTGTGTTAGAGGTATTTTCACTGAACAAGGTCAATTGGTTACCTCAGTATTACAGCCAATATAGTCCAAGGGACCATCTCTCTCCAAGTCTCGTGTTGTACTTTATTATGTGAAGCCCTCGTTTCTGTGACTCTCAAAGCTGTTGGTGAGGTGGGATGAGTGCACTTGCTTCCTGTGGCAATAAAGACTTCGTGTGCCTCACACATCTATGTTTATAGAGCTCTCTGCATAGCATTCCTCACAGTAGTGCTAGCCTACCTGTCTCCCCTCGCATTTGCTCTGGGCATGAGTGTTAGGACCGGGGGCTTCTGTCTTAAGACTTACTGTCGGCGGCCTTCATTTCTATAAGGTTATCTGGCAGGCAGGCAGGCAGTTTACTCTGGCTCTCAGAGAATTTGGTTTATATTGTTCTCACTTATAAGAAGGTTACAAAGACATTTTGAAAACTACCCACCGTATCTAACCAACTAAATAAATAAAAAGGGGGAACATTAGGATTTAACACTTTGCAAACATACTAATATTTGCAAAGTGTTAATGTGACTTGGCCTCAGTATTAAGGGCTATATATGAAATTGAACTAACCTGTGGTAGAGAATTAGCAAAAGCCTTGCTGTGAAATTGTAATGGGTGAAGTTTGGTAGATTAATAGCTTCAACGCAGAGCCAGTGGCTCGGGTGAGGGTGGAGGCCACAGAAAAACTATAAGACGTGATCTTTTCCCTTTGGGAACCCAATACCTAGTTGAGTGGGAATTATTGTCACTCAGATAAAATCCAGATTCCAGTGTGTTACAGAGGGATAAATAAGGAACTGACATTTAAGTGAATTCTGTGTTCAGTAGGCGTTATGGGAGTAAAAGCTTTACAGGTGAAAGAAAGCACATTTAGTGAGTGAGACTGGTGATGAGCCAGGACTGGAAAGATGTGGGGTGTGCCTATAAAGCTATAGTGGGCATGCATTTCACTTGGAGGTCACTTTTTTAAAAGTTACAAAGCTGAATGCTTCAAAATAATGCTTGCCATGGATAATCATTCTTTTGACAGTCCCAATGAACTTGTGAAAAATCAGGGGCTTAATGTGTTAAGACTGAGTTATTGTCAGCGGCCTTCATTTCTGTGAAGTTACTCGGCAGGCAGGTGCTCAGTGGCTCTTCTGTCAGAAAGAGAATTTGGTTTATATTGTTCTCACTTAATGAAAGGTTACAAAGACATTTTGAAAACTACCCACCGTATCTAACCAACTAAATAAATAAAAGGGGGGAACATCAGGATTTAAGACTTTGCAAACTTACTAATATTTGCAAAGTGTTAATGTAATTAGGCCTCGGTATTAAGGCTTATGCTTTTTCCTGTCCTTAATTAGTAAAACCACCTAGGGAAAAGCTCTAGGATTTGGTGATTATGAGCACCTAGTGAACCTTTACATTTTAAGAGCTGAAGCCTAAATGAGCATGTAAGGAGTTTCCTAACATGGTCTACTCACTTGGCTACTCAAATGTTTAAGTATTACTGACACAATACCCATTGTGCTTGTGACTTCACTTAATACTGCACTGACTTTTCAAAAGAAAATCAACCGAGGTATTAACCTAGTGAAACTAGGAGGTCTATCTCTTATAGGAAGTGAATTCATCAGTAAATAGCTGAAGTTAGAGTTGAGCAAACATGTTTGTGTTTGTAACAACTTGAAGCATAAGACCAAATATGGTAGCTGCTATTTAACTAAAAACCACCTTATGGTCCAGCTGTGTGCATGGGTGGTGTTTCAGGGAATCCAGACTTATTTATTTGTTATTATCTGTGGGTGTTCTCATAAATGAGATTCTTAAGTGGGCCTCCAAACTTAATAAAAGAATGATCCAATGTCAAGAAATTTGTTTTTTATTGTAAATATGCTTAATTTCAGAAAACCTTACTGTTGATTATTTTCTTAGTGGCTCTATAAGATGATTCTTATTTTACACTGAAACAATCAAAAGCTAAATGTAGTGTTTTTCTTTGAGTATACAGCAGTTAAAGCTTTAAAATCTCTGGCCTCTGTTTCTACTGACCGAAAATTTTTTTAAAAAGAAAAAACCACCTCTATGGTGTTTGAAATTTTTTGTGCAGAGAAAGCTAATCAAACTTATTTTGTAAATTCACTACCAACTTATTAAAGTTAGAATCCAAAAACTTACGGTGTTTTAAGTTTATCTTATAAATTTTTTTTCTGTCTATAAGCTTAGCAATTTTTAGGGAACTATGAATAATCGGTTGGTTCCATTTACAAAATTGGTTTAAAAATCCCTTATATTTTTATTCTTTCATACTCTTCCTGTCTTCTAAGGGCCACAATTTTGAATTATTAAAGCAATATCTTATTGAATTCTAGGTCTCCTGGTTGTGTCTGTTTGATCACAGCTTCCAAGGTTATTTTTCTGACAGCTAAATAATCTACTTCCGAGTATTGCTCCCAATAAGGTTAAAGGTCTAGTTTTTACCAATTCATCTTAATTAGTGGAAATTTTTATGACATTTTTGTAGCAACTGCATAAAACTCTCAAGGAGCATCACAAGTGAATTACAAAAAATACTTATCTTAGTTTTATTGCAACATTCAGATCAAATATTTAGTTATGATCCTTTTTCTGTTTTATTCTTACTGCCTGATTCCAGACACTTAAGTGAGAAGTTACCTTGAATTTTTTTAGTCTACTATATAATTTCTGTCTATTTAAGTTTTCCAGTGTAGCTTCTCAAAAGAATTGATTTCT